CAAAACACTATTTTCCCATAGCTGGGACCCTCACAGGTTCTACCACTCCATGAGTTCTTAGATGAAATATTGCCTTAATTTGATGAGTTATTCAGACTAGCATTCTCCCTTTTTTGTTTCAATGTAACATGAATTTTTAGTTGATCATGACAAGACCTACTATATTTATGTATGGCATAATTTTGATATACCCTGTGGTCCCCTATTTTTTATATGTAAAAACATCACTATATATATATATAAATTTTGACCCTGTGTTTTCTCCCCCCCCCTGCTCTAACTTATCTTTCAGAAAAGAGGTAACATTTTGTTTTTGAAATTTTTGAAAAATTATTTTTTTACATATATATATCCATGTAAAATGAGAATGAATAGAATCCAATTCCGATAGGATATTATATCAAAAACATGTAAAAACACTACACAAATGTGTACATTTTTGTAGCATTTTTACATGTTATATAGTACACAATAAAATCCAAAATTACTTCATGAGGAATGTTCCCTAGATGAGGTACTTTTGTATTTTATTGTGTACTAATTATCACTCTGTAATGATAAATACATTGAGCTCTTTTTGTGCATCAGTTTTAATATTTTATATTACTAGGATCCACTTCAATTATATACCAATGGATTTATTACCTTTAATATAATATATATATATATATATATATATATATATATATATATATATATATATATATATTTAATTTTTTTTAATCAAAATCCCAGCACCCAACCAAGGAAGTAAAGCCACTAAGACATAAGTGGTTACTGGGTGTGAAAAAAATTACAAAATAGAAGCATCATTGAATAGCAGGAACAATAGAATAGTAATCAGGAAGACAATAGATAACAATTGACATTGCATTTAAATTTTTGAAGATCAAAGTTGACTGGAAAGCAAGAAACCAGATAAGAGTTCTACATGCAAAAAAAAGAAACTGTTAACATAGAATTTATGGTTACATCTTTGCCAATTCAACTAAAAATTGAGGAGATTTTGTTGCTAATCTAGTACTGCACTTAAATTCATAAAGTCTTGGTACCATAGCAAAGAGCTCATCTGAATAATTACCATGAAAGTATTTCGAGAAAAGGCACAGGGAAGCAATTTTACGGCAATACAAATGTGACTGAAGTTGAGATGCCAGGTCAGGACCATTAATATTGCTGATATTTCTTTTGATTTTATCAAGAATCTCTAAATAAATAGCAGGAGCACTGACAGCAATATTTGAGGCATGGACAAATGGTAGACTTACAATGATAGATTCAGAAGAAAAAAAAATTGTCTAGCATGACACAGTGAACCAACTTTCTTAGCAGCAGACCTAGCAATGGATTCAATATAGTTTTTCTATTTCATGTTAGGCAGAGAAGGCACAATAAGTCACTCTCCTGGAAGTTAGCATCCAGCCATGTTGATGAAAGGCAGAAAGGGGTCTCTCAGATGATTAATAGAGAGCAGTTTTATTTTGGAGGTATTAAAGTTAATAAGCCATCCTTTGCACCATTTAACAACTGACTGCAGATCATTTTTAGATCAGTCGCCAATTTGAAGTTACCAATCTGATAAAACTTACTGTTGAGACAGGAATAGAGTCTAGCAGCTAATCTCTCTGATCAAGCTCTTACAGCTCAATGGAGGAAAGACTGGCTTGTTTCATTCAATGCTACCCCTCCCAAAATTAATAACATTTCATCACTACCAAGCATATTCTAAATTTGCTCCAGTCCTGATGAGTGGTCATACTTTAAATTAACCTCCTTGCATCTAATGCCTATTGAGTCTAAAGTTCACTTCAGACCTCAAATGGAACTTTTGTATATTCATACCATGGCTAAAGATGCTGGAAAAATGGTAAGTTCCTTGTATTGCTTCAGAAAATAACTTCTGCTGGCATGCTCTATCTTCACAAGAGTTAGATCAGACCAAGAATGAAGTATTATTACCATATTTGGGCTGCTGCTGCTCAGTCCTCAGTGTCCAGCAATGACAGAGTTTAAAAATGATTATGTAGCCTTGTAAAAATATTCAATTTATCCACAAAGATAAAGGAAAGGAAAAATACAGATAAAGTATAGATCCTAAACTTTTATACTCCAGAAATTATAGGGGTGTTTTACAAACATTTTCATACGACAGGAAATAGACTAGACACAGGAAGATTTCTTATTGACTCCTCTTAATACTTCAACTCAGACTGTTATTAGGACTGACTACTTGATACATTGTCCTTTTATTTATACCTGGTATACAGACATACTAATAGACACATGAATATACACAAATATTTAACAGAAAAATGCTCTGCTCTATTTGAATGTGTATTACTTGAAGAGTATAACATTTCTAATAATGTAATAATTATGAATGCTTAAAATGTGAAAATGTGGATTAATAATTTGATATATGTTTTAAATGCTATGTAATTTTTATTTTTCTCTGTAAATTATAAGTTAAATTTTACTTTAAGTTGGTATCCACTCAGTAGGTATATCATATCTTGTTAATAATTTTCAATAAAAAAAATTTTACTTTATTTCAACTTGATTCTCTCCAGAATCTATCTTGAATATCTATAAGTCTACCATTCATCCTTGCTTAGAATATTGCTGTCATATATGGTCTGGTGCCTCTGCTATTTTTCTGTAGCTCTTTGATAAGATCCAAAGAAGAGTCAACGATATTTTTGGTCCTGATTTGTTGTCTTAGCTTCAGCCATTTACAAATCACCATAAGGTTGCCTCTCTGTATTTTTTTTTAGAAATACTTTCATGGTAATTGTTCAAATGAGCTGTTCACCTAGACTGTATGAATTTAAGTGCAATCTACAGTTGAGCTGGCTAGATTTAGCTGTAAGTTTTATGCTAAAGTTTTTTTCTCGCACTTCTAGCTTCTGAAATTCTCTCTGGCTCCATATTTAAATTTTTACAGATTAAAGTTATCTGCAAAAATTTAAATGCAATGTCAATCATTCTCTACTGTCTTCCTGATTATTCTTTTCATTACTTCATTACTCATGTTTCTGTTCCTAATTCCTCCATACCCAAAACCCCTTGTGTTTTAGTGGCTTTACTGCCTTGTTTGAGGTGATACCGATTTTGAAAAAAAAAATGTCTAATTTATTTGTTTTACCACATCTTGATTTATATGGAGTAAAATGTTTTTGTGGGAGAAAAGGAGAAGAGAGAATGTCAAGTCTCTTATCCCAGGTATTCTGAATGGCACAAATAAAAAAACACAATTGTTACTATGGTGTGAAAGTTGATAGAAATTTACATTTATTAAATGACATAAATGTTAATAATAATAATAAAAAATACTAAATTTACAAAACAACCTTGCATAAAATTTTCCTTTGTGTGTGTGTGAAATACTTAGGCAAGGTAACAAGTTCTAATTACGGTTCTGTTGGGCTCATAAAAAAACATTATTATCAATTAAATATTCACTTACTTCCATATATTCAACTGTTGAAAAGAGTTGAGAAGGAAGATTTCTAACATGTGATATTGGGTATCTGGTTTGTTTTCTTTTTAGACAATTGTTCGGTTTTACAAAATTTTGATAAATTTTAAATTTTCATAAGTTGGTAATCAGGGTTAATACTCCAAATATTTGATAAACTTTTGCAAATAACCATAGAAAGGTATTTGTATAGCTCACTAAATTTGAAGAATCTTTCTGCTTTTTCCTTTTCTTTCTTCTGTTTTTCTTCCTCCTTCCTTTTTTTCCCTTTTGTAGTTGTCAACTTTTAGTTTTTCTTAATTCAGATCCCAGAAACAGCACACTGTCATTTGTCTTTGAAAGCCTAAACTCTTCTGCTTCCTTCTGCTATTTCTTTGTTTTTATCATCAACTTTTAGACTTTCTTAGTTCAGATCCAAGAAACAGCTGATGGTCATTCACCTGTCAAAGCCTAAACCCTTCTAACTTCTTAAAGAGCCACAAATCAGTTCCAAAATTAAATAAAAAAATTGAAAAACTATACTTACTTCCCCCATTGGTTAAAAAAAATCACAAAATGTATAAACCATGCCTGTTAGCAAACTTTCTTTTTGCCAATTTTTGTGACCTTCTGATTTGAGGGTTTGTTTGTTTTTTTTTGTTTTACAGTTTTTGATGATTAAATACATGTATCTTTATAAACCACCGTGCTTCATTTTGGCAGTTTTTTTTGTTTTTGTTTTACATCAGGTTTTATGCATGCAATATTTATAAACTTTTTTGTTTTTACCTTTTAATTAATTTTTATAATTTTACATTTTTTATTATATAAATTTTTATATAAATGTTCTCTTCATAAACACAATTCAATATGACATAAACAAATAAATTAAATACCTTCCTGTGCATTTTACCTCTTCATGAAATCTGTAGAATTTACTTTTAATTCGTAATGTTAAAAATGGAAATCACTAAAAAAAATGAAATGTTTTCATTTCAAACAATACATTTCCTTTTCAGTACCCCACTTTTTTTTTCTTTTTTACAAAAATTCGAATTTTCTTATAGAAAGATGAAAAACATCTTTAATCTCAAGTTATTCTAACTAAAACTTTAGTTACTGACTAATGTTGTTTTTCAACTCAATACCAAAAATAACGAAAATAACACTGAATATTAATTTCCTTTCAATTTCCATTGACCCCAAAACACAATTTCTTAATGGAAAAATATTCCATTTTTGTACATTTCTTAAAGTAATATTTATTCTTCAAATATACATTAATTTCTAATTGCAATATTTATTTAAAATCGGCATTGTAAAACGTGTTTCTGACTGTTTAATAATTGTTTATAAAAACAATTTTCTGAACAGAAAATGAAGAGTGCAGACAACCCTCTACCAAAAAAAGTCCATGGCGGATAAGTATAACTTTGGTTGCCATGGTAATCACGTGACTGCTGCCGAACGAATCAAAAGCTTCCGCGTCACAACATTGTCCCGCCTTGTTTTGGTGTTTCAGTCATTGAGTTAGCCTTCGAAGATGGCGGAGCACGAGGAATTACCGCGGGAAAATGGAGAACAGGAGGAGAACATCACGATGGTCGACTTTCTAGCCGAAGAGGAAAAACTTGAAGCTGACGCCAAAGCCGTATTGGGAGGAAGTGATGCCAAAAACTGTACCTATCCTAAGGTAAAGCAAAACATACGATAAGATAATTAAAAACATGTCTTTTTTTCCCCCGCCTCAATCACGTCATAAAGACAGTGTGTCCATGCTAGTGGCGTAAATACAGTGAGTAGTAAATCAATGTATATTTTGAGTAGGTACATTTCATTACTCGACTTCTATTACATGACATATTCAACTATATATGTTTTTAATAATTACCTCTTATTTAATTTATAGAATTTTTAAAATGAAATATCAAATACGTATATAAAATCGTCTAAGACAAAAAATCATAAAATGGCTTTCGTAAGTGATTTTTTAAAAGTAAAAACTAAACATCACCGTGGTTTTCTTTAAAATTCTTGAAATTTATTTAGTGTTTCATTTTCATTACGAATAAGATTAAAAATTCGGAATAGATTGAGCGATAAAACAAAAATCTTTTATGCATTCTTCACTCTTCTTGGTGCTTAACAAAATAAAAAATCAAATAAAAATTATGACAACATCCTTTTTTATTTTTTTTGCTGGGCATGCAAAATCAAGGAAAAATTAAGTTTTTTTGTGTATTATATTATATTTTTATTTTTTAAGGATATTTTATAATTTTCATGAATTAATAAGGTATTTCATTATAATTATTAATTAGTGATAGAGTATATAGGTTAAAAAAATCCTCGTTTTGTTTTTAAATTAAAAGTTTAAAAACTAATAACATTTCGTTTTTATTTGTTTTTTATACATTTTTTTTATTTTTTGACACTGTAAATTAAATTTAAAAAAAAAAGTTAAAATTTCATTTTTTAAAAAAATATTTATAAAAAAGTTACAAATAGATTGATTTAAATTAAAAAAAAAATTCTCAAAGCCAAACAAACAAAACGATTTTTTAACTGTATATTTTTTAAAAAATCATTAAAAAAAAATTCTAAAATTTTAGTTTTTTTTTTTTTTTAGTAAAACCTAAAGTCCATTTTTTTTTTTTCCTAATTCAAATATTTTTAATAAATCTAACAATCAGCAAAACTTGCATATATAATTTTATTTTTTATTTTTATCATACTTTTTTCACCTGTCAATATTTACTTGTCATCATAAATTTTTTTTTTTGTGACATCCATTCATTCATGTTTTAACTTAATGAAAATTGTTTTGTTTTTGTTTTTTATAATCACAAAAAAAAATCTATCCAAAACAAACTTTTTATTTGTTGCTTATAAAAATTATTTAAACAATTCCTATGAACAATTTTGTGAAACTTAAATGGGGAAGAGGATTTTTTTTTTGTAATAATACAATTAAAAAAAATTTAACTTTTTTTTTTTTTTTTTTTTTCCCTTTCATTTTACTTTTTTGATAAATCTGAAGAAATTACCTGTTGATTTCTAATTTTTAAGTAACCAATCTTTTTAGTCTTCTTAATTCTGGAGAAACTTAACTACAAAAAAAAAATATCAAGTTGTAACTTAGGAAATTAAAAATATTTCCAACGAAATTTATGACAAAGCAAAATATCCTTGGAAGTACAGTAAATTATTTGACTTGTAAAGTTTCTTTTTTAATTAGTAGAAAATGGTTTTGAAGAAAAAATATAAATTATGTTTAATTATTGTCAATTAAAACATCCTAATACTGTCAAACAAAATATATTCTTCCATACGATCCAGTCGGTTAAATTGCCAAAAAGTTTGTGCTGTTTTAAAAACAAACAAAAAATGGTTTATGAAAATATCTTAAAGAAATAAGCCTTTTTTACTCTGACTCAAACCGAAGGCTAAAACAAAATAAGGAAGAGATATACTATAAGATTGTGTTGCGCCAGCTAGGAAGATGTCTCCCTGAATTGGCATTGAATGTTTAATAATAATGATTTAAAAATCGGAATGCGGTCCAGGCTGGAACACCGATCGCTGGCATTAAAGCTGTCAGTCATTTGGCAAATTAATAATATAAATGCGCGCTCATTGTGCAACTGTAATGGACACTTTTCCCTTCTGACGTCATAATCACTTATCGTTTGCTTTTATTTATTTTTTGTGTAATAAATGAAAATTACATTTTTGTAAAAAAATTTATTCGCGCGCCAACTCTAACGGACGCAGTGTAAACGGTTAGCAAGTTTATCCCGTTTGAACACTAAGTTGCGAGTTCAAGCCTTGCTGCGTGCTTCATACGTTCTTGTACCACATTTAAGCTACGCTTTACTAAATCACTAACTGTAGTGTAGTGTGTAACAGAATATGACACAGGGTTGGATTTAATGTGGGAATGTAATGCATGCATGAATTAGTACAGTGTAACCCGGATATAAGAGATTTTCTCTGGTCCCAAATTAGAGCCTGTGTTAATGTATACAAAATAGACCAAACCCGGATATAAGAGACGTCTTCTCCGGTCCCGACAACTCTCTTATATCCGGGTTACACTGTAATAAAAACGGAGTAATTTGCTCGGAACTTCCCATGGGGGGGGGGACTCCTGGTCCTATGATTTTTTTTTTTTTTTTTTTTCTAAGTGCTACCTGGTGGTGGCGGGTAGGTGATCCCTTCGAACTGGGCTCTGTGCTTCCAGTTCCTTGTGTACGCTGAAAATTAACTGCTTCCTAAAACATTTGACTTCTTTTTTTTTTCTTTCTTCCTTTTCTTTTTGTAACTTCACTGTTTACAATACATTTATCTCCTTTACGTCGTTGTCTCCATGTGGCAGTGTCTTTATGTGAACAGTTCTTAGCTGCTTAAAAGCCAAGAGGTCACAAGATCAACTTTTGAAAGTCTAATTAGAATAATTGGGGGAAAAATTTAAAAGTACAGGTGTGAAAACCTAAGGAGTATAGTACTTAAAAAAAATATGTTGCACTAGTTTTGATGGTATGGGTTAAACTATTATTAACAAGATCATTCTGGTGTGAGGGGGATTTGTTTACTGATTTTAGCAAATAATAAATTTATCCCTCAGATTTACTACATATTGATATAACTAGAAAAGTATATTAACAAATTCATATAAAAACTGATTTCAAATGGTCCCACAAAAAAAAAAAAAAAAAATTGAACTTGATGATCACTTAACAGGACCTTTTTGAACCTATCCATTAACTCCGATGGCACATGAATTTTGCCTCACCATACATATATATATATATATATATATATAGTTATGAATTGAAAGAACATCATCACCCAAATAGTGGAACTTGACTAGATCAGCTCTTGAGTGATTTCAGTTGTTAAATCCCCAGAATCCTGAACAAATTTTTGCAAAATCTGAACATTGTAATGTTAAGGAAATTAAATTGATAGAGATGTTGAAAATCAGATGTTACAAGTTGATTTATATTATATGAAAGTAAATTGATTTCCCTTTCAAATGATACCAAATTTATCCTTCTCAGTATTACTGATTATGAGAGGTTTTTGAAATCTAAAAGTTGTAGATTTTATCAACTCTAATTGATCATGTGATGTGTTAATGCTGTGTATTGTATTACAGTATAATCCGCTTACAGGTGCTTTTGGGTGCTTCTGGCCCTTAAAGGGTACCTTCACTATTTTGCCAAAAAAGAGCATCAGTCAGTTATGTGCCATGTGTGACACATGCTTAGGCGATCATGTATCTTTTGATACATGACTGACAAGGCAGATTTTTTCCTGCAGTAGGTTGCCATTTCTTTCTGTGGTAGACCAGTTGTCATCCAAGGCTACAGAACCCAGTCTGTCCTGTTATTTACTCATAGCTTGGGGGGGGGGTCATACCTTCCCATACCATAGTGAAAAAGGCTCCAAACTTGATGAAAGCAAAGTCTTATCATCAAAAGGTTTGTTATTAAGAGGAAAGACCAAAGTATATTTTATTTAAAAAAAATTTTGAATCCATTCTAGCATGTTTGGGATTTGGGCTAAAAATCATGTTTTTCTTGTGGGAGCAGATGGGTCAAAGATTATTATGAGAATTTTAGTGACTTTTTGCAGTAAAAAAACATTGTTTTGGGAATTCTTTCAAAAATCAAATAATTGCCAGATTGTAATAAAATTTTCAGGACTTATTCACAAATAAATGAACTTATTTTTTAAATTTATTTTAGAAAATTTTTTTAAAAAAACATATTACTCAAACACACTTCACTTAATTTTATGAAATTTCAAGAAATTCAATTATCAGCCTCTACATATTTATATTAATTAAAAGTGAGACTCCTTGGAGAATTTAAATCATCAATTTGTTTTTGTCAAATATTTCCTGAAAATCTGCTCTGATTGGTAAAATAAAATAAAAGATGTTATAAATCTATCAAATTCTATTAGAAAACCTTTTAAATGTTTTTATAAATAAGATATATTAAGGACACTGAATAATTAATTTTTACAAATATTATTTTCATTTTTTTTCTTAAATTTTAGTTAGAAACTTTAGTTTTAAATCTTTACATTTTGTATAAATATCTGCCTTTTATATTATATTAATTGAAAACTATTTTTACTAATCATATATGGAAAAGCTTAATACCAGTCTTCAGACACCAAAATCTTTGAAGGAATTTTTGTGTATGTATAAACATGCTTTTTTTTTTTTTTTTTTTTTTTAGTCTGACCAACTTTACATGACATTATCAGAAAATAGGATCAGTGACTATAGTAAATTTAAAAACATTCCTAAAATTAGAGAATATTTTCCAAAATTTTAAAGATTTCTGAGTACTTAAAAATTATAGGAAAAAGCTACTTGCATCATTTTAATTTCTTTTACAGATGAAATCTCCATAGAACAACAATCTGTCAGCACCTCATCAAACATATAAACCGTTTGCTTAAAAAATTAATTTCTACAATATTTTAAACTTAAAGTAAATAATTTGTTTCAAATTAGATTAATTATGCTTTAAATCGGCTAATATTCCTCAAATGAAATTTCAGAAAAGCATATTTTATTTTTGAAAGATTTTATTTTTGAAAGATTTTTCAAACAGAGAACTAACTTGTTTACAAATATCTCTAAGATGGCTGACCTTAACAATGTTACTGAAAAAAATTGATTCCAATAAATATAATTTGTGCTTGAAATACACTAGTGTTTTGCTTACTGAAAATAGTAAATTTAATCCTTTTAGCTTTCAATTAAAGCTAAAATGAAAGTTTTTTTTTGGGTTTTTTTATTTATAAAAATTAATTTAAACCTGAGGTATCATGATTTTAATGAAGGTACCTAATTAAAAGAATTATTATTGTAAAAGCAGTAAAAAAAAAAAGCTACTACATCTGTTAGTCTGTTTTTAATTTTGGAAAACTCAATAATCCATATCCTGATTTGGTACCTGCCTCAAAATTTCTTGGGTTTGTTTGGGGGCAGATATTGTCTAATATTTAAAAAAAAAATTTAAAAAAAAAAAAAAACAACAAAAAAAACCCTGAAATTCTTTTAATTCTTTATCCAGGGATACCTTTCTCGTCAAGCTTTGTATGCTTGTTCAACATGTACCCCAGATTCAGAGAAGCCAGCTGGGGTCTGCCTTGCTTGTAGCTATGAATGCCATGAAGGTCATGAACTTTTTGAACTCTACACGAAAAGGTAAGTAAAGATTTTTACTCTTGAGCTGGACCCATGTAAATTCCATTGAGACTATCCTTTACCACCTGCCTGTTTTTCCATTACCCTTTGCCTATATCTTGCTTATGACCACATCATATTCAAACACCGGTTTTCTATACAGTCACCAAAGTTAAGCAACATCAGGCCTGTTCAGTACCTAGAGGGGTGACTGAATGTGCAGGTGGTGTAATGGATAATGGCTCTGAATTGTTAATCAGAGAGCCAAGTATCCATTGGATTCATTATAGACATTTATACACAAATACCCTTGGAAAAGGTATGAATCTACCTCTTCTACCCTCCCCTCCCCAAACTAAACCATTATTATCTCTCTCTCCTCCAAATTTTTACCATTTCTAACTTTAAATAACCCTCAAAGGGTTGATAAATAATAGAAAACAAATCGATCAATTGTCTGTGTTTTGTCCTTATCCTTTTCAATCTTCATTACTCATCCATGTTTTTATTTACATGTTTATACAATCATTGATTAGTTTCATATGGTGGTGGGAAGAAATAAATGTAAAAATCTTTGGATGCATTCTCTCCTTTATTGTTCTGTTGCTCTATCTCCCTATAGAAAACTTTCATGAATCGCAATTTTTTTTATTTTCTTTTTTCTTCTTTTTTTTTTCTTTTTTTTTTCTCCTTTTTTTTCTCTTTCTTCTCATCCTAGTCTGCCTTTGTATTCTTTATATCCAGCAAGCAAGCCTGTCTAGCCATGTCTTCCTTTATTCTTCTTGCTCAATGTTTATTTTTTCCTTTCACCTAGTTTTCTTTTTGTATTTCTCTTTACACCATCATTTCCTCCTCTTCACTTTTATAAAACACAATTTTTTTTTTTTTTTATATACACTTCCATCCCAACCTGCATTTCAGTCTTTAACACTATATCAAGCAAGCAAGCCTGTCTCTCCATGTCTTTTAATCTATTGTCCTTGCATTATATCTGTTTCTTTTACTTTTCCATTTAACCCCTTTCCTTTTATAAAATATAATTTTTACACATTTCCATTTCCAACTTGCCTTCCAATCTTTAACTCTTGTCTCTTGATATCCAGCGAGCAAGTCCATCTCTTCATGTCATCCCTTTCTTCTCTTTATATTTTTTTCCTTTTCCTTTCACTTGGTTTCTTTGTTTTTCTCTTTTCTCCTTCACAACCTCACTTTCCTCCTCCTCCCCTACCTTTTCCAAATTCTTCACTCCATTTCATTTTATTCTATTAATTTTCTCAGAAACTAACTAATTCCACTTAAGAGGACCCAGAAGATTTGGTAAATACTAACTCCAGATAGAAAAGCAGTATAGTGATCATATATATAATTAAGAATAAGATTGTATTATACAAGTTACTTTTCTCACAATTAGTATTAACCAAAAACTCATTTTTATAAATTTTCAGAATATTCTTATAATAAATTTAATTCCTAAGAGAGGCATTAAAAGAATTTCATAGATGTGTTATTTAATGCCTTCTCTGCTTTACATGTTAATTCTTGAAAAGAGAAGGCTTAAAAATTTAAAAAAAAAAAAAACCTGTATCGCCTGAGTAGTTAAGTCTAGTTGTTAGCACTAGTTTAGATTTTCCTGTTTAAGCATGGTAAATTCATCAGCTGGATGGCAAAATGTTGCAAAAGATATGGCCATTTTGTTTTCAGTATCTATGACTGGTGCTTTTCCTAATTAGATTATTTTCTTGTGCTGTAAGCAAACAGTGCTACCTTTACACTAGCTTTCCTCCAACCGACCAACGATCACCCCCGCATTGCTTTCCAATCTTTGATCTCCTTAGAAATGGGGAAGAGTGTGCTGCATAAAAAAGAAACAAAAAAAAAACTCTACATTGACAAATAAGAACTCGAACCCTGTTTCCCATATTATATACAAGTATATATTCAGGGTACAGGTGGGTAGGCAGATGATACTTGGGACAACTTATGCTATGTTGACTCCTTCCCCTACCTATTCTATGCCTATCCAACCAACGTGGGGGATGGTAGTATGAAATGGAGGCCTTGGAACTATGACACTGATATGGCCATCTCCTGCCAAGGGCAGACCATCATTCTCTCTCATATCCAAAGCATAACTATTAATATAGACCAGCACCCAGATATACCCTATTTCCAGTTTTGTTACCACTTGATCCCTAAAAAATTCTTTACTTCTCATTCCCCTTTGGTTAGAGTGGAATTCACTTAGAAGACCGAACTTCAAAAGGAACCATCTGCTAGCCTATTAAACAGAAACACTTGAAATTGAGATAAAACCAAGGCTTCCCTTTCTATGTAGGTGTCCATAGTATCACATACGAGAGATTTTTAATATAAATTAAAGGCAAAAAGGTGGGGGAGGTGTCGTATTAGGCACAAGTACACATTTTCAGAAATATTTGCTCAGTTTAAAAATCTTATTTGAAACAGCATGATTGCAAATGCACTCAGTTTTGCTCACAAGATAAGTTTTTGATTTTGAGATATATATATATATATATATATTCTCTCTCCGTTCTTAATGAAAGACTTATTTTTTTTTTATTTTCATAGTTTATTAATATATAGAAATGTAATAAAGTTCTATCAAACAGGAAAATCTGACTAATTAATTAACATCATAAAATGTATTAATGTGAATGTCTAGTTAGTACCTTTCCCTGAAAATAAGTTTTGAAACAGAAATTAGAAGAAAAATGCAATGACTAAACATTGTTTGTTTCTATTTAATATTGCAAAAAATTAAATATTCTAATAAAATGTATGTTCAACATTGAGATTTTAACAGATAATGATATCCCCCCCCCCCCAGTTTTATAGAGATGAGGTTGTAATTTATTCTGTTTTTAACTTCAGAAACCTGGGGCTGTATTATACATAAGAAAATATGGTAATCTGATTTTAGTTAATTTGCAGATAAATCTACCACTTCAAATTGGATCATTTGATTAATCTGAACTACTGATCCAGTTCCATCACTAATCCAGATATAATCTCATTTGCTTAAATATGAATTTATTTCTCTCATTACAAGCGAAACAAAATCCAATTTCTTATTCTATTTTCAGCCAGATTTCACTAAAAAAAAAAAAAAAAATTCCTGTATTTTATATTTACCGAGATAACGATTCACAGATGAAGAATTTTGCTGTTAGATTAGTACGTTCACCTGACAAAACTTCATTAATCCAGCATTTTACAGATCCCAACAATCTGATTATTGACTTTCAACATTGTTATAAAAATATTTTTATAATCCATAATGTAGCTTCCCTGTATCTTTTTCTACAAATATTTACTGTGGTATTTGTTCTGATGAGCTTTCCTCCTTGCTTCCCTGACTGCATGCATTTATGCATAATATTCAAATGGTAGAAGTCTCATTGTTTTACTGTTGAAATTGTTAAATGTAACCATAGGTTCTATCCTAAACATTTCTTACAATTTTTGATTGAGAAATGTTCTTGCTACTTTTTTTTTTCTTTTTTGTCAACTACAATGTACAAAAATTGAAATGTGATGTCAATCATCTTCTATTCCCTTGAAATGTGTACTTTTTATTGTCTTTTCTCCTCAGTAATGTTTGATTCTCACTCTCACTCACTCACTCACACACACACACACAGTAACTGTCCTGCTCATTTATTCCTTTCCTGTTTTGGGTTTTCAGTTCCTGCTAAAGTTTTCTTATTTTCTTTCACCTCCAACTGCTTTTAAGCTAGTTATAATGATATGCAGTTTTAAATTATTTTTCATTTGTTACAAGCCTTTGTTTACAGCCATCATAAAAATTTAAAGACTTTTTTTCATTTCTCTCTTATTTTTTGTTATAGATAACACTGTAACACTATATTTGTCTTTGGGTGTCAACTGTTATTTCCTATTTGCTTACACCTAGAAAGTATGAAAAAATGCCTAATATTTCTTTCAAACTTTGCTTTTGTGTCCAGGATAATGTTTTTTTGTTTTGTCCCCCCCCCCATTGGCGAATGTGAGCATTCGTGTTCACGCAAAGTACAAATAAAATGACATATGATTCAAGAGTAGCATTTATTCTACGGTTACACAAGAGAAACCACAACAAATTTAGAAGTGGGTAGTTTTTAGTAATTTACACTTATACTGTAAATTACTTTTCATGAATCGACAGCCCCATACCACAATATAGTCTCCCATCATGTTCTTGTTATACAATCCTTGGTAGGCCAAATGCTCTAGGAACTTCCTTGAAACTTAGAATTCCTTTTCAGCAACTCAGTGCTGGATTTGTCTGGAATGTAATGGAAAATGATGTCCATGTTGCAAAAACAGTTTGAAGGGAATAATATTTGTTTCCTTTACTTTCTAAACAGAATCAATTAGGAAATAATACTGGCCAAAGTCAAAATTTTTAAAATATATTCTCTTTATTTTATAGAAACTTTCGCTGTGACTGTGGCAACAAGAAATTTCCCACTCGCTGTAAACTCTTCAGTGTAAGTTTTTTTTTTTTTTTTTTTCTTTCCTTCTTTCTTTCTTCCCACCTTTAGTGGCTGGAATGACTAATTTTATGGAAGCTGCTGGTGACCATTGATATACCTGTTGACCTTTCTGAAAGTGAATAATTTGTCTATTTATAAATGACAAAATAATAATTTTATTTGTCAGTGAGGCAAATAAAATATGCTAGTCAGGTGAAAGGAGGAGCAAACAAATGCTGATGTCTTCTCGTATCTAAACACAAAGTATGTTTGTTTTGTTTTTTTTTGTTTTTTTTTTTGACAAAATAAAGTCTTAGTGATTTTGTTTCTTATTGCACCCCAGGACTCCACAAGGGGTAATAAAAGTTGAAGTATGTTTAATTGTTTATATATTTGTTTTGTTTTTTTATGTCAAAACATGCATGCAAAATGTAATGCATTACATCAAAATATTACTCATCCATTCTTTTACAAAAAATAAAATCTATACACATAATACAAAGAAAGTTACAACAATTTTAAAATTAGGTGTTTGTTTTTGCTCACTCAAATGCAGTGACAAGAACATTTCTAAAGAAATTAGTGTGGTAAAGCTTAATAAGTAATTTTTGTCTTACTACTTGTGTGTACAATTAGTGACTGCTAATGTCTGTGAATTGGAGACACCAGAATGAAGTACAAAAATTTAAGTACCTAGTTTTTTTTTTTTTTTTTTTTACAGAAAAGGTGACCCTCAGATCCAAAGACACATTGGGATACTGAGATGCCTCCCAAAAGCGAAGCAAAATATCAAGAAATGGGAAAATTTTGTTATGAAACAAAGAAAATAGCGCTGAGCTATTGTGTAATATCGGTCCTCCTATACAGCAGTCAATAATGGGCAATCTCCTCACTGATGAAGACTTCAGGCAACAGAAATGTGGTTTTGTAGAAGGGTGCTGAAAATCCCATGGACTGAACATGTAACAAGGGATTTGGGGAGAAAATGAAAACAAAATGGACACTTAAAATCAGAAAGAGACAATTGAAATTTCTAGACCAACACTTTTCTTTCTTTCTTTTTCCTCTCATCAATCCGGTTTCTTCTTTTCCCCCCTCTCCTCTCCTCCCCTCTCAGTAGCATGTAAGGTTAGATAAGCTTTTTTAGAAAAATTTTAGGAGCTCATGCCTAAGCAAAATGGCTGGACTTACTTTTCAGGAATTAGGTGGCTTCACCTTTTTTTAATTCATTTCATAACATTAGTATTGGTTGGTTTTGACCTTTTTTTTTTTTTTTTTTTTTTTTTTTTTTTGACATTTTCAGGGTTTTTATTTACAAGGGGTGCTGAAAACTTGCTCTGACTAAATGGCTAATAGTTTTTGTTGTTGCTTTATATATATATATATATATATAGAGAGAGAGAGAATGCATTATAAATATCTTCATAGTTGAAGATTATACTGAAAAGTTTGTGGCTCAAGTCTTTCTGATTAACCAATCATTGAAATTTTTTTTCTTTTTTCCTTCTTACCCTCCCCTACCTCCTGATCTGATTTTGAATTGTTTTTTTTCTCTCCAGGATAAAGCTGACTACAATGAAGAAAACAAATACAATCACAATTTCAGCGGCAGATATTGTACATGTAACAGACCGTATCCAGATCCTGATGATGATGTAAGTATTGTGATTTATAATGACTTGCATATTACCCATAAAAAATGGTGGAATTATTTGCATATGGATTCTCACTACTGCCAAGGTCTAGTACACTGCTGTGAATTATCTCTACACTCTTCCCAGGATCAGTGTCACTCTCATCACGGCCAGTAACCAGGGCATTGCTCCCTCGCCCCAGCTGTTATCAAGAGTGTCGCACACTCAGGGCCTCTCTTTAAGATCAGTGTAGTATCTGTGCACAAGTTATTTTTATTGTACTGCTCAATCAACGAAACGCTGGCTTAACGGATATATCACTTTTCTGATGATCTTATGAGTTAGATGTTTTGAACAAGGACAAGAGTTAAATTTCAGTTTTCCTATTTTTTTCTGAGGAATCTTAATTCAAAAGTTAATAATTGAATAAGCTCATGCCGAGTTCTACGACAATAAAATAACTGTAGAAATTTCCATATCACGTTGTTAAATATTTGAGCGTAACAACTTTAAGAAAATATTGCAATAACAATCATAAATATGAATGTTGGTCATTATTTAAAGAAGTAAGAGGATACAAATGAAAATATTTTGAAATTGATAACTTTCCCATTTCACTGAAATGAACGTTAAACACTTTCTTTTCTTTTGTCACTGGAACCAAGTAACATCTCTGATATGTCTTTCCATCTTTTCACACGATCAAAACAAAATAGTTTCATATTTATGAGTTATTGGCAGGGTCTAATGTCTGTGCTAATTAAGGCAATGAGAACAAATATTCATTTGAAAGAAAAATCTTAACTGAATATGTTCTTGCATTAATGACTAAATTAAATAGTAGTTTTCATGAAGGAATATCTATTAATGTGGGTGTATTTAGAAAGACAAGTCCTATTAGAAAATATCCTTGGACACTTTTATAAGCATCAAGCATACCATATAATAATTATCAATGTGTATTTATATATTTCCTATCATATATATACTCAATATTTAACACTTTTACCCCATAAATATAGCGTACCTTAAAACTGTCTCCCAATTCTTGACAGTGCCTGTGATAATCAAATGTCCTCAATTATAACAGAAAGGATATGAATTTTGGACAGTTTAACACTTTTAATCCCAGTGTACAACACCTTTCTGAAATTGGAAAGAGATAATAAAAAGTTGAATCGACAGACCTTGTCAATTGAATTTAACTTATTTGTATGAAGTCTTGCTGCCTAACTACATCTTATTTAAATTGTACAACTCTGCAGCATACAAAAACACTAACATAAGATTCTGAGTTTCACTCATAGAAAGAGAAATTAGATAAGATCAGATATTTCCAAGAGAAAATCAAAAAATTAATGACAAGCTAAAATCTATAACCTCTCCAAATTACCATAAAATACTTAATCACATTCTGCCATAACTTTTTTTTTTTTTTTTTTTTTTTAATCAAACTATATAATAATTATCAATGTGTATTTTTTTTATATTTTCTGTCTCTGCCTTAACTTTTTTTTTGAGTTTTTTTACACAAATAAAATATTTATCTGCATAGTTTAAACTACTAGAGTAGAGTCCGGGGATGTAACAGTAAGAGATAGATCAAGTATCGACCATCATAAAGACTACAAAAATAAAATTGACAAGATTATTGTTTAAGGTTGACGGACACGCATGTCTTAGTTTTTTTTTTTTTTTTTTTTCATGGCAGATGAATTGGTCAAACTCAAACAAAAAGATTATTGTTTCAATTTTGTTATGAGTCTACCGATTGAATTTTTTTTTTTTTTTATGCACGTTTTCATAACTACCATTAAACAATTTTTTTTTTATGGGATTTTTTAAAACTCAAATAACAGAAACAATGTAAAAATAAAAGAAAAAGTTTAAAAAGTTGATGTAGTTTTTTTTTGAATAGAAACTTACTACAAAAGAAAAAAAAAATGAAGTTTTGTTGAAATGTAAAATTTCCATTAGAAAAATGTAAAAAAGAACTTGAATACGATCCCATATATAAACGAACACACACACACACACACACACACACACACACAACTCTAAAAAAAATACTGCCCATTTAGTTACTAGAATTGCAAATGTAACAAAGATAACCCATCATAAAGATAAAAAAACAAAATTGACAAAGATTATTGTTTAAGGTTGACGGACACGCATGTCTTATAAAAACATTGTTTTCAATCGTTATGAGTCTACCCGATTGAATAAATTTTATATAAACAATTGTCCCTAAATGGAATTTTTAAAGCATTCTTAAATGTAAAAATAAAGAAAAAAGTGCCTCTTAATCGTGAAGTTTTGTTGAAATCGGTTGAAAATTTGAAATCCGATCCCATATATAAAACGAACACACACACACACACACACACACACTGGGTTTTATAATAAGTATAACTCTATGAGTTGTCCCCTTTCATTCTTAACCATGATGCCTCGAACCATTTAGTTCCGACTTTTTCAATTGATTTTGTGCAAAAACAATTGTTTTTCCAATATTTGGCGCTGTTAGAACCACTACAAGGTAATTTTATGTAGTCCTGTGAAGTTTTGTTGAAATCGTTTGAAAAATGTAGGAAATCCGATCCAATATATAAACGTACACACACACACACACACACAATCTGCGTTTTATAATAAGTAAGATATCATGGAGTAATGGATAGCAGCTCAGATTGAGTAATCCGAGTTCAAATTCCAGTCGAATCCATTACATTCACTTACATGCTAATACCCTTGGGAAAGGTATGGATCCTCTTCTTCCCCCAACTATGGGTAAATAGCAGGACAGACTGGGTTCTATAACCTTGGTTGGCAACCTACTGGGGGGGGGGGGTCTGCCTCATCGGTCAAGTATCAAGATACATGATCACCTAAGTGTGTATTACGTATGGCACATAACTGATTGACTGATATTTTATCTGCATTGGTCACTGTTTTATCTGAATGTGAATTATGGTATCTTAGATTCAGCACACTTACCCTCTAAATATCTAATTGAATAACTATTAGGAGATAAATGTAATATTAATATTGCAGGTGTAATTAAAAGTTCTCATATTATTAAATATATTTTAGTTTTGCATTGATATTCAAGATTCAACACAAACTTGCTCTATGATTGTAGAATTAAATTAAAATAATTCTGTTTTTACATTGTTTTGTCCAGTTAGCATCATAAAATGGAAAATTCCCTTGAATTGAAGAAATTAGAACAAGAACAAAAAGCTGATAGACAAAGATATTCATAGGCACTGCAGGAATGTCACAAAGCAATAAAAGTATAAGCTAGGAAACTTGAGGGTAATGGGAGTAGCAGGCCTGAGAGTGTGTTGTACAAAGAAGACAAAATGAAACGGAAGAAGCTAATGTGACAAGAGCTGCTATATGAGAACATGCTAAATGAAAGATGCAAATAGAAGACTGTCTCTTGACAAGAAACAAGAGCAACAAGAATACTGGCGCCCTGGGGAAATGCACAAAACTGAGTTCTGTTCACTAAAGCCAATAATCAACATAACTGTGGTGGCTAAAAAAAAAAAAAAAAAAAATCAGTCATCTTTTATGATATGGGTACCTGAGTAAATATTATTAAATGTTACTAAAACTAAAATGTTAGAATGCATTACAGCATTTTTTTTTTTTTTTTTTTTTAAATCTTTTTAAAAAAAATTAAAAACGGGTATTTCAAATTTTTAAACAATAAATATCAAATTTTATGAAGGCCCTGGGAATAATGTTACGGTGTGAATTGTGATTTTTTTTTTTTTTTTTTTTTTTTTTTATATCAACCTGTACAAAAACTGATAGCCACTCAAGGTTACAGAATAAGAGGAATAGTTTATAAGGATATGCCTGGGAGATAACATTCAGCCCTAAGTTTGAACAGGTTGAGATTGTAGTGACTTGGTAAGCATCCTCTTGAGAGTCTGTTTTAGAAAGTTGCAGTTCCTAGGAAGAAACTGTTTGAAATACGAAGGGAATGAGAGTGGGTCGCTATAATGGGCGTGGCATGGTATGTTGGGTCTTAGCTGTGATGATTAGAACTGGCGGAACTAAGGGATGTATACCATCTGAACACTTTCCATGGATCTAAGGATAGAGCAGCAAGAGGCTTTCATCTGTGGGAAAGGGAATACAGGGTGGGCTCCTGTCGATATATGGCAGCTGGTCAAATTTCTAGATTTTATACTGGGCCAACTAAGACATCTCTTGACTAACTGGGTGAATTGAGATTTTATTTTATTTGATTTTATTTTAGTCTATTTATTTACTCTACTTATTGTTGCTCTAAGTTCAAGGTCATTTATATGATAGATTGTTAAAATTTTTTAATCTCTAAGCAATGTTAGTTTGTCTACTCACACCTCATTCTCCAAATGCCATTTTCATTTTTCCCCAAATATAATTGACTTTTTTAAATTTCTCATTCAAGGTTGAAGATGAAATGTTCCAATGTGTGATTTGTGAAGACTGGTTGCATGAAAGGGTAAGTCTTTGTTGATTCCTTCAGATCTGTCTTCTCCTTTCATTCCCTGCCTCTTCCTCTTTTCCTCCCCCATCTCCTTTCATTTTTCTAACCATCTACTCTTTCTCTAGCTTCTTTCATTTTCCTTGCCCTTCTTGTCTTGTCCTCCTATCATCTTTCTTGTCTTCTCCAATAATTTTCCTCACTCTTTCTCTCATCCCTTTTCCTCCCTTTTTCTGTCTCGCCTTCCATTTCTGGTACTTTGCTCCCACCCCTGCTGATTTTGACTTGTCTTATCCTTCGAATAGAGATGTTACAAGTCATTATTTAAAGAAACTAATTTCTCCCTTCCAGCATTTGAACCTTGTTCTTCCTGACCGTGATGTTAGTATTGAAATTGTGTGCAGTGCCTGTATGAAAGCTTGCCCATTCCTTTGGAGCTACCAACTAATGGACACAGGTCAGTAATTGACAGCATGCTTTGCAAATCTTAAATCGATGTTACATTACATGAAAATATAAAGTCTTTTTTTTTTTTTTTTTTTTTTTTTTTGTGTGTGTGTGTGTGTGTTATAACAAAATCAAGGACTTGCCTTTTGAAGAATTACTGCAAGTCTGTGATGCCACTGACTATTTTGGTGCATGTAGTGATTAATGATTTCCTCATTCATATATATATATTTCTTTGTAATCTCTTCTACAGTTATGGACATACTTGTACGTCTCTGCAAAACTTATTGTTGACGTATAATTTTTTATCATATTCTCTCTCTCCCTTCCCTCCAGCAAGGCAATAAAACCCCTATGATGCAAGAGGTTACTGGGAAGGGTGTGAGAGAGAAACAAACAATAAGCAAATAGCAATTAAACCAACAAATTTCTTTAGAAAAGAAATTCTGCCAATTGGAAATATCCTCCTACTTGTTGGGGTAGGGTGAGATTGTGAAGTCATAATTCTGAAGTTTTTGAGTACCCAATGCTAATTGGTATACTGTTGGACTATTTATTCTACTTTTTTTATTTTTTTTATTTTGTGTTTATGAACAGATCACCTGTCTATTTGTCCATAGCAGGGACCTTAACAGGTGCTTGGGTCGGGGTGGACCTTGGAACAACAGCAATTTAGTGGTTGTTCCATGCTCCTCAAAATCTCTGATCTCCCGATCAGAGGCCTTGCTGCTGAATGTAGTTTGTCATACCGAAGACTACCTTTTTAAAGTATCAACAACCATCTTGTACAATGGAGTAGGCTGAGCTCCATAGCTATGGATACAGCCAATGTGATCATAACATGGCATTGCTGAGTGGAGAGCTTCCGATACCAAAGTCAATGGTCATGAGCTTTCAAGATGGAGGACATCAGCTGTGGTTTGACACGGAGAGTAATGGGTTTATCTGTTCAAGACACATTCTATATGAATGAATGTTTCTCCAGCTTTTGATTCAGATAGATGAAGGAACTGGTCAGTTGTGCAGCAATCCTATGACCACACCCACATGTTATAGGACTGGTGATAATAAGAAGAAACTAATCACTGTTTCTATAAAAAGATTTTTTTTAAATAAGACAACAAAGATTGAGAGGTATTGCAGATCGGTATGTAGTTTCTTCTCCACGCAACACACCCTTAACTATACTCGAGAAAATTTTCATATTGTAAGTAATTTTTTGTTTCTTGCAGTTGTTAAAATGGAAAAGAGTGAAGATACAAAAGTTGATGTGGAATCGGTGGACTCCAAAAAGGAACCAACTGCTGACAGTACTACTGCAGTAAAACCTGAAACACAAGAAAAGGCCCTGGTCTCAAACACTGACCCAAAGATTAAAGAAGAAAAACCTGATGTTAAGGCAGGGACCTCAAATGGTGTTAAAACTGAACAAAGTGAAAATATTTCCCCCCATGAAAGCTCAGCTGATGAAAATGAATGCTTGGTAAGTTGCTTACTTAGCTTAACAAATTTTCTTTGTATTTATTATTTTAGTGTTCAACATGCTATTTTTGCCATAAAATATTTGTAAAAGAGACATAGGGAAGCCATGTCATGTTAGTGAGAAAGTAAAGTCAAGTTGACTGGTCAGGATCAAAAACATTACAGATCCTTTGTATTTTGTCAAGAATCTAGAGATGTACGGCAGGAGCACCAGACCAGACGGTGTTCAATGCATGGATGAAGGTGGATTTATAGATGTACAAGATGACAAGAGTTGGTGATGCCAGCAAGTGTGTTGACTGTTGGTTAGATATGTTATTAATGTTGGGGTAAACTGGTTGAGGGAAAAAAATTGTATTGTTAGCCATAAATAATCAACAGTGCCATTTATTGCCAACATACTGTTTTTACATTTATGTAATTAGCGAAGTAATCCTGCTAAATAACACAGTTAAAGTGAATGCTGCATAATTTGTGGCGTTAAAAAACACTTTTATGAATAAGAGAAAATTGCAATCACCATCTTCTGTTTTTTTTTTTTTTAACCCTGTTCCTTTTTTGTTCTTTCCTCATTCCTCCTCCCCATTTTCAGTCTTCTCATTATCTTTAACTTTCACTCCTTGTAAGCTCCTGCCTTCTGGTGGCATTATCACCTTACTTGGGGTGAAACGATTTTTAAAAGAAAAGAAGGGAAAAAAAAAGTGTGTGTGTGTGTATAATCAATCATACACAGAATTTAGTCACAGAAAATAAAACAACTTTTACACTTACTTTTCCTTAGCAAGTCCAACAATATAAAACTGGCAACTGCTCTCAAAAACAATCTCCACTCAGTTGTTAACTGGGACAAGAAATGGTTTGTAAATTTCAACACATCTGAAACAAAACTGCTTTCATTTAATCACCATAGAGGACCTTTTCTGCTTACTATCAGCATGACTGATGCTAACCTCCATGAATTTATAGTGCGCTACTAAAATACACACACACACACCTCCCATTGTCTTCCCTCTAAGCTAATCCAGAAGCACATACACTTATGCCACAATACAATAAAAATATGTGAGATCAATCACAGAAAACAACTCAAAATACCAGAGCATAATAAATTTCCCAAAAATTTCTGATGAAGCTTAAGCAAAAAAGTTTCATATTTGTTCCTTCATTTTTATTTTATATATATATATATATATACGCACACACGTGTGTAATGTGTGCGTGCATGTAAAAAAAAAAAAAAGTTATATATGTAAAATGTGTGTGTATATGCAATTTTTTATATAGTTTATATATTATATTTGCGTGGTGCTTATTGGAAAGTGCTCAATATCAGTGATAGTTAACATATTTAGTTGGATTGATGTGAGTTTGTGACCCTGGGTTTCACACTATTTGTGATCGTCAAAGTGATTAATTTCTACATTTTGGATTTATATATGATTGCGTATATCAGTGTTTTTATAGTGATGGGAGGAAAAATTGTCATCAAAACATACATGCATGCATGTTCACTCATTGGAGCTCACACAAACAACACAAGACAGAAATATTACACCAAGAATAAACTGGAAAATATTGAAAACGCACATGCCTACGACATTACAAAGAAATGCGTACTTTACCTACATGAAAAGGTAGCAATAATTTCTCATACCCAACAAAAGAAATTACTAAACATAAGATCAGGAATAATTTGTAAATGCAGACATGAGAACAAATACCACAATTTATGCCAAATGCATAAATAAAATGTGTGTGTGTGTGTGTATATATATATATATATATATATATATATATATATATATAATCTCAACTAACACTACTACATAAATCACCCTTGACCCCATGAACATGAAAAGAGAAACCACTGACACCATAACCCCATCAATTATTTTCTAGTTCAAACTACCAACATAATAATTATCATTCCACCACCCTTACTGCAATCACTTCTACCACTTTATAATAACTATTTGCTGCTACAATTATTACCATCACCCACTTCCCCCCCTCCCCCACACCACCATTACTACCACATCACAATTACCATTGCCATATTAGTCCACAATTACTACTACCGTATCAGTCCACAATTATACTTACTTCTCCCTCTCCCCCCAGCAAAATTACTACCACCACATAAATACTAATAAGTATTACAAATTGGAGTTTTTACGATTTACATATGCGCAATCACCAAAAACAAGCAAATAACCAGCTTTAAAATAATAGCAATTTTACCTACCATAGTCTTACACAGACCCCATCATACATGTGTGCGAGAAAACATTATTCAACGAACAAAATAGATGTACAGCCTGCACGTTGATAGTGCAACAGATGAAAGATATTCACTACATGATCCAACATTGAATACAGTAACCAAATGCGTATGTATGTACATCAAAACACATAGATGCGCATATATGCCCAGTAACACACTGTTCACATGTTTGTTTGTGTGAGCTCCAATGAGTGAGCATGCATGCATGTATGTATGTTATGTTAATGAACATGCATGTATGTATGTTTGCATGAGTGGCATTCCAATGACAATTTTTTCCTCTCACTACCATAAAAACACCGATATATGCAACCATACATGAAATACATGAATCCAAAATTTGTCTGAAAAGCGTGAAACTCACATCAATCCAACTATGTCTATTTTTTTATGACAATAGATACAAATTTAAGCAATACTCTGTTTATGATGAAATTAAATAACATTTACAATATCAATCCAAATATTGCCAATATATTTTTCATAAACAAATTTATCTAATATATATATATATATATATATATATATATATATATATATATATATATATATATATATATATATATATATATATATATATATATCTCGCTTGAGGATACCATAAGGTTGAAACCAAGGTAGCAAAATCTTTTATGAAAGATCAACCGATACAGTTATAATATCCTTGCTTTTCTTCTCTTCTCCTTAGCTTCCTCATCTTCCCTTTCTAGCAAACCTATTTATTCTTTAAAAATATAGCGTTGGGAGGTCAATTCATAAAAATCGCCTGAGGGTACCATAAGGTTAAAACCAAGGTAGCAGATTCAACTGATTTAATTTTTAAAGTTAAAAGCTCTACAGGTTGTTGTTGTTGTTGTTTTTTTTTTTTTTTTTTTTTTTTAATTTATTTATTTCATACATGTATTAATTAAAAATCTAAGATTCAAACTGTCAATTGCAAACATATTTTAACTTTGACCCTGCAATCTTGCTAAACTTTCAAATTTGACAATCACTTCTTATGTGTTGAATAACCTTGTAAACATTTAAAACTTATCTTTAGTATGTTAGATTTTTTTCTCTGTAATATAGTTAATACATTATTCTTCTAACATTATTGGTTAAAAAAAATT